TGTTAGCATTATTTTTATTCACTGAAACTATTTTATACGCGACCAAAGCATTATATAATATTATTATCGATCTAATTATGTACCTATAATATATATATATAGTTATTTATTGTACACGAAATTGCTGGGGCATGTGTTTTCCACTTGGAGGAGTTTGTTCTGAGAGAAAAAAAAATTATTGTGATAAAATATTATTATATACACGCGTAGGCACCTATATAATACACAATAACAATATTATTATTATAAACCAATAGCTTTCCGCTCCGCAAAGAATTAAAAAATAATAATAAAGCCCACGTTGAGTTTCTCACAACGGTGTTGCACACACAGGCACACAATTCCAATGATTATCTAGCTTTTTTCGCGTCATCCAACCCACCCACGCCACCCACCGACCCACCGCTATCGGTGGAAATTACCCTTCGTGCGTAATATTTAATCAGCTCCTCACGCTCTGAGACGCCAAACTGCCATAACCCCCTCACCTATACCCCCTCCACTGCATATTTAAATATTATGATACAATTTAAGCGTATCTAAGAAGTGGGTATGTCAACCAAAAATGGCATAGGTTTTAACCACCCTGGGCTGCATGACACCATGCGCGGTAAACCCTCAAAACAGTCAAAACGATAATATTATTACCTATATATTATAATACTGACGTTAACCACGAGTTATCGTATGCCTTTATTATAGAACTTACATAACAATGTCATTACGAAATAAATTTTCACGTGGTGGTATTATACTACATGTTGACATCGGAACTATAAGCAGGAGCACCAAACATTCATCCAGAACAAGCCCGGATTAAGGATCAATTGGGCCCTGGGACACCATACACTTAGTGGGCCCCCTTTCAACTTTAACTTCAAAATAATTGTATCATTACATATTAACGACTTTAGATTATTGTATAATTTTTTACTATACAAAAATAAAAAAATATAAAGGGTGTACCCTATGTCATTGTATACTGTTTTTTTTAATAATTAGATCGATGATATGGAATTTCGTTAATACAAAAAAAGACAATCGTTTCTTTATTTTTAACAGGCAATTTATTTAAAACATATTCAACATTTTTAAACACGCAGTTGTAAAAATAATAAAATCGACTTTATTTTTTCAAATGGTAACCACTATGTTTTTTTATGGATTCCGCTAAAGATTTTTTTCTAAACATTTTGACAGTCAAATGATCAATTTTGGTTAGCTAGGTTATTAACTATGATCTTCTAAAGTATGCAATAGTGACGATCAAAATTGGTCTTGGTCTTGAGGTCTCGCAAGACTCTTTCTGCAAGACCAAGACCAAGATTAGGCTTGCAAGAACAAGACAAGACCATCACTCCAAGACTCATGTGGTCTTGAAATTTTTTTTTTTTTCCCCGAAAACACATTACTGTATCTAGATTTCATTAACTAATAATTTATAACGAAAATAAAAAGAATTTATTTGTATTGTTATGAAATTTGACCAGTGTTCGAGGAAATGGCGAATTATTGAAAAAAAGATTAGAAATATAATGGGAATTGATATTACAAAATAACATAGTTGTTCATACTAATTAACAATTATTATTTTATTTTCCCAAAATCGATAAGTTTCATCTTAGAGATCATAACAAAAAACCTACACACAGCTATAACAGGTATTTAGTTATTTTTTATACATTTCGTGAAAATAGCAAGAGTCTTGCAAGAGTCTTTCTCAAGATCAAGACCAAGACCAATACTGAGTCTGCAAAATAAAGACCAAGCCCAAGATTTTGAAAGTCTTGGTCTTGGTCTTGTTTTGATCATCACTAGTATGCATTAATACCTTTAACTGAAATACCTAATTTACAAGAGCTAAATATTATTTTCTTATAACTACCTTTTATATACTTTAATAGTTAAATTGGTAATCTAAAATGTTCAAAAAAAAAAAAAAAAAACGAACAAACAAACAAACAAAATTATTGGCAAACATAGTTCATTATTTATAGTAATTTTTGGTGGTATAAAATTGAGAACATATTTATTTTATAATTATTAATAATAATTTACCTACTATACCTACCTACTTACATAATTTTTTTTTTTTTGAAAACTGTATTGGACACGTTAAAAAAATATATTTTGGTGATAAAGATGGGCCCCTAAAATCAATGGGCCCCGGGACCGTGCCCCCCTTGGCCCCCCCTTAATCCGGGCTTGATCCAGAAGCCCGTCATCCGTAGACACCAATAGAAAACACAATAATTTTTATAATTAAGACCAATTTAATCAATCCTCTGTGACTTGTCTTTCAATCATCGTGAACGATGACGGCGAATATGGGCATATAATACTCTATCGACCGGACATATATTCACTGTAAATAATATTAAAGCCCTGAGCTGTTTATTATTAATATAATACCTTTGAGGATAGATAGTATAGAGAGACCATCTTGCCTATGTTATGATTCGTAATGAATTGATTCACCAGAACTGTCAATAATAGTTACTATATATACCTATATCTATACTCAATGATAATACGTGTATATTATATTGATAATCTATTTTAATTTGAGTATTATTTTTAATTTTAAAAATTTGCTCTGCTGCACAGTAGGTTACAAGTGGGTCACTGTATAATGGATGGTATTAAATTTTAATTCAATGACATAATATCATTGTATAAGAAAAACGATTCTGAACGGAGAATGTATGTCAGTCTAGGTATAAGACATATTATATACTTATATATGGTATTAAAAAAAATTGATTTATAATTATAGGTATCTATAATAAATTCCAAATTAATCATATCACAATATCCATTAGGTACTTATAACGCGTTATACATCAACAACAAACCCTGATACTATTATAGATATATAATAGTGTACTTTAGAAGTTTCAAGTACCCACGAATAATATTATTCAACCACAACAAAATAACTAGGTTTTTCAATATGTAATTTCATCCAAATTTGAACTTAAAATTACTATAAAAATAAACAGTGCTTGTGTATTTTTTAGATTTTTTCATAACAGAATTATAACTACTTACATGGAATCTTGTTTTAAATTTTCAATCCTTAGATATAAAAATTGAACAATTTATAAATTTTCAACTATAAAGTAATTATTCAATTTGATAAATTTTGTCAAAATTCGATCATTAAATGCTTATAAAAAAAAATTGTAACTGAATTTTTAATATTTTTCAACTAATATTGTAACAATATATAACAGATAAAACTTTATTGATATTTATAGAAAACAAAACTAAAAATATTGAAAACTGTAAATGTCAGTAAACAGCTCAAAAAGAGTCGAAATATTTTCAAAATTGTATGGTGTATAGGAAATGCTAATATAAACATTCAGTGAAATTTTCATGTATCTACAGTCATTTATTTTTGAATTTCAAAAGCTCATAAAAATTTAATTTGACTTTCTTATAGACATTTTTTTTTTGTTGATAAAGGTAGATAATCTTATAAGGAATCTTTTATTATATTTTAAAATCTTAGATTTAAAAAAAAAAAAAATTACGGATTCTTAACTCAAAATAATCTGCTAATTTTCGTGATTTTTCCATATTTTGTCATTTTTTGAACTTTAAATGCTTATAAAAAAAAAACTGTGGCTTAGGATTTTTAAAATTTTTCATCTGCCTTTGAAACAATATACTAGGAGCCCTCTATTAAATTTTCAAGCCCCTTTAACCGGCAAATAAAATTTCATTGATATTTTTAGAAAAAAACTAAAAAAAAATGGAAAATGAAAATGTCCCTAAACAGTTCAAAATAAATCAAAACATTTTGAAAATGTTATGGTGTATAGAAAATTTAAATATAAAAAACCAGTGAAAATTCCATTTATCTACGGACGGTCATTTGTCTTAAAGTTTTACCAAAAACCAAAATTGATTTTTTCGAAAACAGATTTTGTGTAAAAATTCCCGTTTTCCCTTAATTTTTTTTTTTTCACGACGCTTCTGAAAACTACTGGAAAAATGTTACTTTTGACCCATACCTATAAGTAACTATTATAATATATATAGGTACCTATCCCATGTATACCTATTCCAGATTCCTATGACCTCCATATATTGTATAATATGTGTAATTACAATTTTAAATCATTTTCAGTTTTCTCGGCTATATTTACAGATATTATAGGACTTAATAATAATAAATTATTTATAATTTATTAAATATTAGGACTTGATGTCTTATCAAAATAACAAAGCAAAAACGCATTCTACTTATTTCTTCCATTGTAAAATTATGCCCTCATGAGATGTCCTTAATTTCGAGTTTCAAGCAAATAATTCATAATTATAAATGCGTTTTCGCTTTGTTATTTTGATACGACATCAAGTCCTATGATGATATGAACTGAGCATGAACAGCATAAATTGGTCTTTTAGATGCCAATAATTTAACTGCATATTTTTTAGTTCGTATAAGCAGATACGCTTATAGCTCTCATGTCTTCCACCGGTTTTCTACAATGGCCAATGATGTAATATGACGGATAACAATACTAGTTGATCACGTGCACTTTGTTGCCCTTAAAAAATGGCTTAAAATAATTATGATTGTTCAACTCCTTTTGGATGTAACTCACTACATTACTACAATGAGTGTAACTTAGCCTGGTAGGCTATGTTCAAAAATTCGATTTGATTGTACCTGATCTTCTCGAATGGCAACCAATAATAAATCCCCGTAAATCCCCGTTTGAGCACCTCCCCGAGCTGGATCTAGGAGGGTGATAACGACCTATATTCTAAACTCTACCAAATATACAAAAAAAAAATGTCATTAAAATCGGTCGAGCCGTTTCGGAGGAGTTCGAACGCTAACAAACAACGTGACACGAGATTTTCATACATTAATTAATTATTAAAATAAAGGATCGCAGGTAATATCGTTTACAATAATATAATTATTTTGTATTTTATAGCTGTACGCGGTACTTTGTGTGATATCGCAATATCAAGAACTAATGGCGGGCAGAGGTACTGCCCGTTTTGAACAAACCTTGAAGGTAAACATTCAAAGCATAATATTAACTCTAAAAGTTTATAATTACTTATAAATGTTATAGGTACATTAAAACAAAAGTTTATAGTGTATTAAATATAATATTATATAGATTATATTTGTACACATGTATCGTTTATTTCTATGGTTTAAAAACGTTTCGAACGAATATTATGGCGAAACTTTATTCCCTTCAAAACTTATATCCACACTGAGTGGAATATTTTTAAACATTTAATTATTTTTCATGACAGTATACCAAATTCCAAAGGTCGAACAAATATAAAACCCAAATTTTAATTATAAAATTTTAAATATAAGTGCCTACGTTAACTTTTTGTTATAGTATTATACAAATTGTATAAAATACCAAAGGTGTAAACGAGAATTAATTATGTGGCTTCGGTTAGAATTTATATTTATTGTCATGCATAATGCACACCTTTATATACATGCCACTGCATTTCTTTTCTAATTTAATGTATTTTATTGCGCCACGATTTATCTTTATTTTAGTGTTTGGGTGAACATAATAAACAAATAGTGGTATTATAATTCTTATGGGATTTCACTTAACCTAACGAAGATAATATTAATATTATTAGGTTTTTAGGTTTTATTTCGAATACAAATTTAATTCACCTAAATCTCTATATTGGTACATACTCCCGAATCGTAATAATCTAAAGAAATTTTCAGATATCCTTTGTGATATAAAGCCATGTATTATTTTCCATCATAATAATAATACGAATCGTATTTTATTCAATGCTTTTTGTTCAGTAGGTGTACTTAGCATGTAATCTCTTCTGAAGAACAAAAAAAAAACCTTATTATAATATTATTTAAATTATAATCATACATTTTAAGCTCAAGTTTCTGCGCATTTAAACATAATAATATCGGTTACCTATTGTATATTAATTGCGATTTGTTTTTTTGTTTTTTTTTTGTTATTGTACAGGTATTTATGATTTAGAACGAATATTTACTGACCCTCACCCATCTGATACTATTTATGTGGTTCCGAAATAGACAGTGGAATCCACAGTGAAAAATTTTAAAACAAGTCATTGACCATAAGAATAATATTAATTTTAAACTTTTAACAGAACAGAAAGTAATATGTTCAATATAAATCGATATCTATGTCGCTTTATTTCGCCACAAAACTTGCGACACGTATATATAGGTATTATGGGGATTATTATACCACGAAAATCAAAAGTTTATAATATTATTTTCACGGATGGAATGATGCATTTCGAACGATACGAAAAATTGTATAATAATTAAAGGGGGGAGGGGGGTTCGTCGTATGACACACAGGCCACGATAAATATCGAGTTAGGTTTAATTTAAACTTTCGCTATTATTGTATTTGAACTGCAGTATATGTTAATAATCTGTTTCGTTGTGTGTTCCGTACAAAGTACATTTGTGGACGCAAATACACACCAATATGTATAGGTTTGCGGCAAGTTTGTTGTTTATTCAGAAAAACGATTAGTATTGGAACAGTGTCACTGTAAACTTGTACCTTCGTAATAATAATAATAATAATAATAATAATAATTGTGCGTCGTGAAAAGGCACGTTCTTACTGTATATAGTAAGCAAGTATAGGTAATGACTGTGAGCCAGTGTATAGGTTCCAGAGTATACATAGGTACACAACATTTCGCATATTTACACAGATATCGAACCCACTAGCATCGAGTCGCATTGCGATAAACTCGATTAAACTAAACATTTTAACACGAAAATTCAATGTTTTTAATTTTATTTCAAGAGTTTTACGCGACCATTCGAGTTCATACATTCTAGTACCTATAGTGAATATGCTCTTAGCTGCAGTATAGGTTTCATCGTACCCAAGTTGCAAAACAATAAGCAATTGAAAATTTAAATAATATTAAACTATATATTAATTAATAGTCGAACAAAGCGATAATCGTTCAAAAGCCGAAACCCTATTATAAAATCGTTAAATTTTCATCGCCACCGGTGTACTTAAGTACACTTGTACTACTTGTCTATTGAAATTAATATTTTTAACAACATTTTAAAATTTTAAACCTTAGGTACTTTTTAAACATATATCTATATTCTATATAAATGGGTTTTTTTTTGTTAAAAATTATTAAAATTGAAAATATTTAAAACTTTTAGAACGTAGGTATAAGTACAGGAATTTTCTTGAGCTTTTTGGGGCATTACATTATTAGTCCTATTATTCGTCCGAGTCATAAAGTGCATGCACAATCTTACAGTTATAAATCACAATGTCTATGTGTTACTATAACTCATTTTGTATAATCTATTAGTTTGGCTTTCTTAAAACTATGGTGTTGTTTTTTTTTTGAAAATTGTATATACCTTCAGAAGAGATACCTAACCTACCTACGACCTACCACATAATCCTAACTCTGTCTGTGTATACCTACTTATAAGCATAGTTTCTCTCAACTCGACCGAAATACATTTAACGTGATCACTATATGTAGATATCGCCGGTGAGGTACACGTGCCAGCCGACGGGCACCAGTTGCCTGAGTTCCAGACGACCGGCCACACTGCAGCCGGCGTCACCCACGCAGAGTCCCACGAAGACCACGGTTACCGCGACCGGGGGTTCGGTAGTGTTGGCGGCAGGCGGTGGAACGTCCTCTGGTTCACGCAGGGGTTCCAGGAAACACGTGCAGTTCCCGGATTTCGAAACGCCCAACCTCAAGTCCACAGACCTGTTGCACGCGAACTGGAAACAAGGACCGTCGCCACCACCCGATCAGATGAGCACCGCGACGACAGCAGGTTATACGATCTCCAGCAGCTCCTCTGCGGTCGAGTTACGATGTATGCGAGAATAACTCAATATGTTGAGTTATTCTAACGGCTAAAATTGAAGTTTTTAAATATCATCAGTGCAGTGCTAACTCTCATTGGTACCCCCCAGGGCAATAATATTTGGCACCCCCAGTAAACATATTTAAACATTTTCCACCCTTTAAAATTTTACAAGTTTGGCTGCCCTAGGGCACTTGCCTCATTTGCCACCCCCTTAGCACGGCTCTGAATATTATATTGTTTTCTGTTATAATATAAGATTTCGAATCGGCAACACGATAACGATAATCTATATAACGACCTGCTATCACTGTTGGTCATATAAATTTAACAAATTTCCACTATGACTTCGAAAAATCAGTGCATAACGGGGTATGATGCACATTTTTCCGAAACTCAAAACTGGATTTCCGCAAACTATAGTTATACCTCGAGCTGCTGCTGCGTGTGTACAACGGGCGATTTTGTTGTAAAACTGAATATATCTTCTATACACTAAACGGCAAACACGCAGAACGGTTCTATTTTGATAGCAAACACTCGTAATCTCAAAAATGTATTTTTATATAATTAGAATAACCTCTAATATTACAAGACAACATTTTTCAAAAAACATTATCTTTTTTCTACTCGTATTTTGTATATAATCATCGTTTTTGAAAAGTTTTAATTTTTTGAATAACAAAGTCAGTATACGGTTTTGCCCAAATGAGGTTGGTCATAACTAGGTTTGCCGGTCAAAAGCCGAAATGTGACATTTTTTCCCAAGGATTATGGGCAGTTCGCTTTTTGCCCTGGCATTTCTGAGGTTTGCTCGATTTCGACTTTTGCCCGTAACATATATGTATATATTAAAGCTTAAACGTCGTATTACAAAACAGAATATTTTTGTTTAATGCTGACATATTTTAATCAAATTTTAAACATTGAATGTATTATAGTTATGAATTATAATAGTATTTAATATATTCGATGAGTGAAGCAGTCGATAAATACTTTTTGAGAGATACTCCTATGTCCCATTCCACTCCGTTCATCAAAACTGTAAATACTTATATAGTTATATAATAATATAATATAGGTAAGCGTAATTAACAACTTATTCGAAATTCGACTTTTCTAAATAAAAAGAATTCAGATTTATTCTAGAAAATAAAGTTCGGTTTGGAATATGAAATGTAAAATATATGCATGTGGCCATTCTAAAAAGTAAAACTTAATAGATGACGATAATGATATAAAATAAAAAACATTTTTTTTTTTTTAAATGATTGCTTTCATATTTTGTAAGAAAATTTAAAAAAAATTTCCAAATCACTAAAAAATAGTGAAAAAAATCACTGAGTCTAGAATGTATTATAATAGTTATCCTACAGTGGTCGATATTTATGGTTTTTTTCTGTATATATAATTTCGAGTATAGACCGTAAAGTAGGTAGGTACGTAATATGTATACGCATAAGCGTGAAATGCATTGTTGGTTGGATACAATTATTATTCAAGTACATACTCATATAATAGTAAAATATTATTATATTATGCAGCAACTTATATCACACCATTCACAGTTTACATGTAGACTTGCAAATGAAAACAACGAGTGATTGTTTCTGAAAACAGCAATAAAATCTTACATTCGCGACTTGTTAGTATGCATTATATTATGGTCGTTAAACAATAACCAAAACATTCTCGGGAAAAGTAATGTCTCGGGCTGTAGTTCTTGGCAATCCACCCCAAGTCAGAGGTTAAAAAGAACTGGGGTGTCGTGATATCGGTGTTATTACGATTGGGAACGATTTTTCGATCGAAGTTTTCGTTTATTTTAGTTTTTCATATTATTGTATACTTATATTATACAGCGATAAAGCTATTAAATACGGTGTTACTAATATTGCCTATATAAAGTCGTCATTTTTGGATGAGTAGTTTTCAAATAATTCAGCTGTTTGGTGGATAGCGGTTATACTGCAGTTATAGTGTTTATAATAGAAAACTTTCATAGTAGTTAGGTACTTCTGAACTCATATATATATTATTAAGCAATTATAAATGTTAATTTGTAAGACAACGTAGCGACGGAATGAAAATATTCAATCAGATATTTAACCGAGTGAGCAATAGTGTCATCATACCTTAAAGATGTTTGGTTTTACCACCAAAAAAAAAAAAAAATTAACCCAGATTGGGGGATCATACCTGAGATTGGTGTTGTATACACTTTAAATGTAGATACAATAATAATAGTTACCTTCGTTGCGCGTTCTTATGATTCGTTTGAATAAAACAATTGATTAAAATGAATAAATATTTGATAAATATTCATCGCCCGAAAGCCAAAACTCGAAGACCCGCGCTATAATAGTCAGCTGCCATATGTATAGGTCTCTTCTTGATGACATTATACGCTTGTAAATACTTCAAGTGTGCCGTGTACGCATTTTAAGCACACAATATTATACGTAAAAAAGGGAATTCGGGCTTTCTTTTTTTAACGAACGGAAAACTGTGCACGCTCGGATGCTCGATCTCGCGGTAATAATACATTATTATTTTGCAGTTGTGCACACAGAGAGGCATAGCCCTCGTTTGTTGTGTATCTCGGTGGCTGCACACACTTTTGCAATCGCGACGGTATTTTTACTCCTTTCATCCGTCGTTACTGCTTTAATACGGGGTGACCCATTTAACGTAAAACACGTTCCGTTAAAATTCGGAAAACGTTTTTTAAAACATTTTTTTTTCATATCATATCATAAATATAAAATATGCCCACCTTAACTAAGTAATATGCACTGCTAGTTGCTTATAATTACAGGATGTTTATGTAACTAGAATAATTTAATCGGTCATGGCTTGGCCACGTTATGAGAATATAGGGGAGAATAATATACAGTCAAATCAGTAATAAAACGGAAACTACTCGGATATAGACCTCGGGGAAGACCTAGGAAAAGATGGATCCATGTAGTCGAACAAGACCTAAAAAAATATGAGAATAGACAGTTGGAGAGAAATGGTACATGCATAGACATATATAAACTAATGGACAGCGCTTAGAGAGAGAGAGGTCAGTGGTACCATATAGAGTAAAAGAGAAAAGAGAACTTTGGGGAGAAATACAGTTATAGTTTACAGGTCTATGATTACTACTTTATGTTCTTTCTCTCTTTTCTCTCTTCGTTATTTCTTCTTTCTTTCTCTTATATGATTCCAGTGCAGGGCGGAGTGGTATGCGCTGTCCATTAGTATATGGGCACATGACAGGACGAATAAGGTGGTGTAATGTTGTATTGATGGCAAAAACTCAAAAGCCACAAGAAGAAGACGATGACGAAGTAGAAGGTATAATTAGGTATTATCGCGCATACCTGCAGCAGATATTATTATATCCAGCAGGTACCCTGACAGAAGTCGGCGAATAACGACTAAACTGTGGAAGCTGTGTATATCATTATCCTGAAAATATTTCGATTTTGCCCCACTTCGCCGATGAGTATATTATATTTTTATCCTAATGATGAATCGATGACATCAATTCAGGAAGACCTTGACACCTCGTGCACAATATTTACCCACATCGCATAGTTGTGAAGGGATTATCGCGAACGATTTGCCGTGACCAATAAACTAGGGCGATTTATTATTATACATATAATATTTTACACGGGAAATTATGCGCGCGGAGGCCATCGACTTCACGGTTGTATTTATTTTGACGGAATATTATATAATATATTATAGAACCGCCATGGCCTGCGTGTAATCGAAGCGATAAATTGCTCAATATTGTGTGATACACCTACGACCTACCTGAATAATATTATCATATTATCTATTTTTTATTCGCACAAAGTGGAGTGATATGGATACGACTCGCGTCGGGCAGGGAAAAAAAATTGAAATGCATTTCGGTTTCTTCCGGCACGGACAGGCCACAGACTCGTATTATTGCAGCTCTGCATATACCTAATATATGTTACGGTTACCTATAACCTGGTTAGACGCTTATTCGTGGGTTATAAATCCCACAGCGCGTGTATATTTATATCTTCTAAGGTTCGATACAGTAATATTGCTATAACATGACCCGCAAGTCCGCGCTTATGTCCTGCTCGAAATTATAATATAATTATCGCGTCTGCATACCTACTCGAAATATGAGAGGTTTCCGAATTTTTTTTTCGATTTTTTTTTTTTTCTTGTTAGACTTTGGTCAAAACTGAGCCACATTTATGCGATGCAAGTTACAATTATTTATCATATAAAATATAAGTAGTCCAGATTCGTCCGTTGAGCATCGACACCTTTGATCTTTAATCATTATGAATGATATAAATAAATAAATTATTGTTATCGTTTACGCACCAACCACCATTGATTATTAAAATATCGCATAAAAACTACCAGTGCCTAAAATTATACAGCGGTAACATAATTACATTAATAATATGCGTTTTATTCGATTACAATATTTATAAAATCATGTTTATTATATAAGGTATATTTGTATGCTCAAGCCTAAGGTTATGTGTATATTGCATATATTCAAACCCAGATTTTGGAATTTTTAAATAAGCTAGAAGACCATATTTTCGAATACTTGAAATTGTTTGTACCATGGATTATCCTGTGACAATACAAACGTCTGTGTTTAAAATAGTAACCCAACTCCCTCCCCCACTTTTTCACTTGATATTAATCAGCAGATATATTTGTTGAGCATTTTGATACATCTAAATAAAAATTCGAACTAATAATTTTTGAGTTTTATATCTTTGTGTACTAAGGATTATATGTTTATGGTAATTGGTTAAGTAGAGTGAGGGTTTAGATAATTTGATAATTGATCAATAGAAATAATTTTTAAAAATTATCCAAGTATAATAAATCAGGGCTTGAAACCGATTTTCGATACCGGTTTTGAATACCGGTTTAAACCGTTAAAAACCGAAACCGAAATCGAAACCGAAACCGAAATCGGAAAAAAATAATACCGGTATCCAAAACCGAAACCGAAATC